GGAGAGAGACATAAAGTGAAGAAACATTAAGTACTCTAGGGCCCCCTGTATACACAGTTTTTTTTTTTAATTAAGATTTTAATTCAAAACCTACAGTAAATGCTAAAATTGGACTTTTAAAAGTAAAATATACAGTATCAAAGTAAAAATCAGCTAAACTTAAAGAGGAAAAAGCTGAACAAGTAAAGGTTCATTCCATTCTGAAAAGAGAAGAAAAGAAACAACGTTTCGGCTGTGAAGCCTTCTTCAGGTGTCAAAAAGCTGAAATATGGTGACTGGATTTGTATTCAGACTCATGCACTACTTTTTTGGTGGAAGCACCTTTGTGAACAATTACAGCAGCAATATGAATAAAGACTCACTACAGTACCAGCCTGGTGAAAATTTGCCTATTCCCAGCAAATTTCTGAATCTCTGATTCTGAATTGTCATGTTGTACTATTTAAAGAAATACGTTTTGAAGCTGAGCTGAAAGTACATTAGCAACTTTGTAACTACAGCTGATGTCTGTGGTTTCCTAAAGTGAATTTAACTGTGTTCAAAACCTTAGATTAGCTCAAATAAGTAAACCCCACCCATTGCAAATGTAGTAATTCATTTCCAAGCTTTTTAAGACCAGCTACACAAGGTGAAATGTAAAACAGACAAAACATGGATATGATTAATCTCCTACTCTTTATGTTAACTGAATTAATTTATTTAATTTCATTATGTCCTTTAAAAGCAGAACTTTAAAAAGAACAAAGAAGCCGTTTTGGTTGTTTCAAATTTAAACAACCACTAATAATAATAATACATCTTAAAGATTTGTATTTTTTGCCTGCTGTAAGTAGCTTTGAATAAAAAGCACCCACTGAGGTAAATGAATATAATCATTTATCTATCCACCTGTTACACAATGCAATCTCAAAAACAATTTCAGAATAAAGGTTGTCTCACATGAGTTCAATCTCTTGCCTGGGGCAAAATCAATACCATGAAAAGAGTAAAAGTCATTCCTCCTTCCAAAGCAAGGAACCCCCTCCAGTGCTGTCATGAATGTTAAATTCTTATTTTTGTTTTATTCATTTAATACTTTATATGTTATAATGGGACAGCTTGTAATCCATTAGATGTGCATTTCCTATAAAGCACAGCCACCAAAACCAGAGGAACAAAGTGATAATTTTGAGGATATTTTCCAATAACATTTTCTTTAATTGGTAGGTTCTACATGAAAAAAGTCTTATATGCAAAAAATACATACACTAAATATTTAATTCATTATGTATGCCAGGCACTTCTTAGCTTCTCATATACGCAGAAGCAGAGTATGCATTCACATTCCTGCACACTCATACACCAAAAGGGTGATTTTCAAGTCAGCTGAATATTAAAAAGTTATCATTTCCACTGCACTACACTGACCCTCAGTGAAAGAAATTTCAACATTTTTTAAGTTTGTTAGTTTTACAAACAATGCTCAAATATATAGAAAATTTGCAACGTCATTGCCATGATTACTCTTCTTTATAATAGTATTAGTGTTAATTTATAGTAGTGTTATTACACTCAACTTCATTAACCTATTAATTACAATGTAAAGGAGCAGGAGCAGCTGCATCTGTAGTGATGAAAAGGGTTTAGGTTACTAGAGGACAGCATAGAGACACTCCAGAGGCAGAGACAGAAGGCGAAATAAGCTTCTACATTTGCACAATGTTATGAAAGGAATCAAGTCCTGCTGTATGCAAGCATATAAATAATACTCAAAAGGGTTTAACACTTGAAAAAGGCTGTCTAGGCCAGTAACAGATGAGACTGCCTCATAGTGAAACAGTACGCTTAAGGTAAAAAGACTGAATGAGCTTACAAATTGACTGCTGCTGTGTTAGCATTTATATTACTTGTATGTGATACATACCTGGCCAAACAGGATCAGTCAGTTAGATTAGGTTTAGTCAAAAGAGGAAATGGAAAGCCAGCAGGTTTTTAACCAAGATAGGATAAGTATGGTAATATCTCATATTACAATGTTTTTGTTCATAGATGCCTCGTTACCAGGTTAGGCAGATCTGTCAGACACCAGCTCTTTACAAATCAACAATATAAGGAGTTTTTATCTCATATGGGGTCGCACAGCGGTGCAGTAGTTTGCATTTTTGCCTTGCAACACCATGGCCTTAAGATCAATTCCAGACCTTAGGTTCTATCTGTGTAGAATTTGTATGTTCTCCCCCATGTTTACCTGTGTTTTCACCAGGTACTCTGGTTCACTCCTACAGTACAAAAACATACTGGTAGGTTAATTGGCTTTTGAAAAAATTGGACCTATGTATAAGTGTGTGCATGTCTGTGCATCTGTGTGTTTGCCCTAAGATGGGCTGGCGTCCTGTTCAGGATGCACTGTATTTACCCTGCCTTGCCTACCTGTTACTTGCTGTGATTCAAGCTCCCCTGCGACCATGAACTGGAAGGAGCAGTTCAAAAATGAATGAATAACCTCATATGAGCCAAGTTAATTAATAGTGCTTGGCAACAAAAATATTTAGGTAAATTAGTTTGTTCACAACAAAAAATCAGAACAAGAAAGAGATGTTCTACACTTTCATTGGTACAGTACATTAACAGCTCAGCAGACACTGCATGACCACATAACACAATGCTGGCAGTAAGCTTCAGAAAGGCAATAGTTTAACACAGATGAAGAGTCATAATGACAGAGCTCAGAGACTCTATCTATAGAAGTCCTCCAAAGGAACCCAACAGTAAGAATATACAGTAGGTAATGTTTAAGAATACATTTCCAAAAACCCATAAGAACAAAGGTTTCTAATCCAGTACTTTGGGAAGCATTCCTGTTGTGATAGCAAAAAGACATTGTAGAAGCAAAAGGTACCGTGTGTAGATGATACTCTCATGAAAAAACAAAGTATGGTCAAGTTGGAGCTCCTAGAACTCAAATGTTTAAGTTTCAAGGTCTAGAAAATCTTTCTTCTATAGAACTAGAAACCACAACAAACTAAGAGCACCATGATGGAAGGGCAAAGAACAGGAATCCACTTAGTACAACCATGACAAAAGAAGAAAGAAGCTGACCGATACCAGACACCATCTGTGTGTGACTGCCATACACTGTGTCCCACACAGTAAAACCACAACTGCACACTTGAACATCACAAAGGGCAGCAGGCATGCCATTAATGTGATAATGCAATAAGGGATAGGCTACTTGTTGTGGGATATTGTCAAAACGTCAAGGCATTTCATTCCACTGCAATGTTTCCTGCCTGCTTTTTGTAATTAATTGGTAATTGGCAATGTAATAAGGTTCAAACTGAGCCTTAATATACTTTTTACTTAAACATAGCTTTTAAAAAACAAGTTTTACAATAGAGTGTTTTCATTTAAATAAAGGGTGGAACTCAACTTCAAGACTCTGCATAGAGTTTCCTTTGAAAGTAGATATTTACTGTAATACCTCCAAAAATGAATGATTTTTAAGTAACAAATATATTTACCATCCATCCTTGTTGCTGTCTAATTGTTGAAAAATGTTCTGTGGGGCATCATCTTCAAATTTCTGTCTCTTAGAACCTTTCAAATAAATAAATACAACGGTTTAAAACATAGATGCAACATAAAATTCATATACAGATTCATGGCAAATCTTTTCCACTCAACAGAGAAATGGCTCATTCCACACCAAGCTGTCCTAAAACTCAAAACACGCAGAATTACAAAACAAAATCCTGTAATTTTACTAAAAGAAAAATCAAAATTTCTTTTTATTTTATTTTTACATTGCCAGATATGTACTGTAGGTACTTTAAAACATTTCTGCCAAGTCAAAATGTAAATGTAAAACCAAGTATAACTTTTGTATGTTATATACTTTATCCTCAACAACATAAATAGCTTTTTGTTCTTTTACTCACAACCTTAGACACACATGGTATAATACATTTACATTTTGTTTTGGTGGCACATATAAAGAACTGGATATACTGTAACTGTGTAACAATAGGAAAATAAAAGAAAGAAAGGCTGGGGAAAGGAGGTGTTGAGCACAACATGTGGACAAGGTTGAATTTAGGAAACACTGGTATTCTTTATATTTGTCAAAAACTTTCCAGATGTCACATTCCTAGTTGTGCAACTCTAACGAATTGCTGTTTTCACTGTCACTATATTTCCAGATAAGCACAAAGTCATGGATCAATGCTAACAATATTGATAATTTTTCCATCCAGATGCTAAACATTCAGGTAAACAGTCATACATTAAATATTCAGCTACCATAAACCCTATTGCAATGTTTCTTATACAAAACCCTGGAGCTGCATAATTAAGTAAATTAACCGCTCATTGGAAAAGAATCGGAAAATCTCTTGTTGGTTATAGTGTCAGCACATGTCTGAAACTGTGAAGACAGATCCCATTATAATTATTTAATTATAAAGAATATAAGAGTAGATATAAATGAGAGAAGGCAGAGTTAATTGATCTAAGGATGTCATCAAGCCATTTCCTGAATGAAACCAGAGTATCAGCTTCTTCAATGTGGCTGTTTAGCTTGTTCCATATTCCCACAGTACTTTGACAAAAAACATGCCTCTTGTTCTTGGTTTTAAGTGTACTTACACATAATGAATTGTTAGCTCATATGCAGTACAGATTTTATGTAGATTTGTACATTACTTTTTCATTCGTTTAAGTTGTTGGTGAACATTCTACTTACACAAATTTGTAAATGACTTGATATTCATAGTAACAATTAAGGAATGGCTGTTTTACTTTTTTTTATCAACCCATGTTCTAATTTAATTTTTTTTAAGTTTCTTTTTAGAACTTTTAATTCTGTCTTAAAAAATAAATAACTGTGATCTAATATGTAGGTTGTCATTAACTTTCACGGTATCTGGGGCATTTTAAGGGAAATTTGGTTCCAATACAGATAGCAATATACCACCTGCAAATACTCTACGTCTTAGGGGCTGCTATTCTTTTACTGTTAGGATGGTGTCTTTTTAAGCCACCATCTTCATAAAATGAGGTTCCTGGGACACTAAAAATGAGGATAAACAAAAGGTAACATCTCTATTGCACCCCCTGCTGGAGCAAGAAGGGAACAGATATATACTGTACATACTCTGATTCTGGAAGATGGATCCAGTTATAAGATATAATGGATAAAACTAGAACCAAATTGGAAGTCATGATGTACTCCAAATAAACATGAGTAGCCAGCCAAGCCACTCAAAAGTCTTCTCTGCATCCAGAAAGACATTAACAGCTGGAGAGTAAGAACATAAGAAAGATTACAAAGGAGAGGAGGACATATAGCTAATTTGCTAGTGAGTAATTTAAGAAAGATCTTCAATCAAAAAAAAATTTAAGTGAGGATCCATTCATCATTTCATAAAAGAGGCTAAGGTTAGGGTAGGGAAATAATTAAATTAATGGCAAGTGTAGGCGTGATTTACAATTCTGGCATAGACCCGCACATCTTTCCTTTCTACTGAATTAAAAGTGACCGAATATGAATTACAAAACTGCATATAACATCTACAAATGTATTTTCCTTTAACAAATGCAACCTGTCAATTGTAAATTGTAGTTATTACCATGTATTTTTTGTAAACAGCTCAAGAACTCTAAATGTATCTACATAATAAGCATATTATTTAACACACCCTTTATTATCTATGCAAATTAGAAATCTAAAGGACAAAATTATTGCCCTGAAGAAAAATGAACATTTTACATAATGCTAATTAGACATCTGCACTAATTACTTTTCTGTACATGAGTTAATTATGATAATATTCTGGTAATGTTGATTTTAAAATTAACCCTTTATCTTGACAAACTGCCTGTACACATAAACCGACACTGAGGATTATCACTCTGAAATTATATTTATCTTCCTTGTTCATGTTTTCAATAGTTTTTTGTTTCTTTCTTGACTATGATAATCCTCTATCACGGGAATAATGCTAAATAAGCTATCCTTTGTGCATCTTTGCAAAACATCTTTATGGTATTGCTGTTATAATTTACACATTATAATACATGCTGTATAAAATAATGATATTAAAGCAATGATGTCTATAACAACATCACTTATAATGCGTCTGCGGGTGTGTGTAAGAGCGAGCTGCTGCCTTTCCATGCAGTCATCTGCCAATAACAAAATCAATATTTTTCACCTTTCTGGATATATTTTCCCTCCTTTAAATCTGGGAAGCTTTCTGCAATCAGTCAACTCCAAACCCATCCTAGTACTGTATCTCCTTGTTGGACAATGTACAATGGACAGGGGTAATGTGTTCATGCACAGTTATTTTAACTAGTACATAAGCCTCAGAATACTGGACACACTGAAGGATATGTAGTTCCTGAGTTCTAGTATGCAATAAATAAGGCATTGCATCGATTCTAAGCACCAGATTTACAGTAGGACCTGAACATATCAATGTTATAAAGTTATATATATTGCAATCTTTCCAACAACTCCATGACAACTCGGGTGCAAAATAGAACCAAGGTTTTCGATCTTCAGTCAGTTGTTTAATTTTAGCACCATCAATAACACTGATGAAATGTTGCACTGCTGGTGTTCAAAGCCAATAAGCACAGAAATAGCACCCCAAGTTTGCAATTGAATCACATTGCTGCCATTTCCAATCACATTTTTACAGATAATTACAACCATAATTACAGATTCATACATACAGTATACGGTACGCACCCTCTGTGATCATCTGCATTTTCAGTTCAAATTTATTCAACCTTCAAATTCAATAAAAGCAGCAACATTTTAAAAGCACACATGAAAAGGAATTAAAAACCTGAAGACTCAAACTGAAGACATCTAGGGATAAGTACGGTAAATGGCAGAAAAGGCTAAGGAGAAATAACACATGAAATGTGCTAATTGCACAAGCATTCAGAACTGTAAGCTGTAAAGGGTGAAAACACCTTGGGTGGTATTTATCATTTTGGGTACATCTCTATCACCTTCAAATGTGTGGAGTAGGTTACATATATAACAAATATTAATTGCTACTTCAAAGTATCAGGACTGCAATATTTAAAGCAAAAAAAGTGAAAACTATGCAAGGTCTGAATACTTTTACAAGGCACTATATAAAAATGGAAACAGCAAGCCTGAAGAATAAGTAAAAAGACAAAAGTTATATTGCATTATTGTTGCCCTCTTAGCTCCTCTATCATGGGTAAAAGCAATAAAAATGAAAACAACAGTTTAGGGTATACAGTTAAAAGTTGAGAATTTAAATTACAAATGCCATGTTAAAACTGTACCAGTAAGGTCTGAGTTAGGCTATGTGATAATATAACTGCAAAATGACACTGCTGTCCTGGAATCAGTACAGACAAAAGGGACCAGCCACAGTGCAGAGCTTAAAGGAATGTCCTACAAATGGACTGAACACTTTAACCTGATGAAAGTCTTCCAAGTGTTTCAAAAAACAGTAAAACATTAAGCAAAAGACACAAGAGAAACCATGGGAGAGCCACATTTAAATCTAATAAGGAGTCATTTATAATGCAAATGGTTCTAGGAGTCTGGAACAAGCTACCCAGCTTTGTTTTTGAAGATCAATTCCGTGCACCCTGGCTTATGGATGAGTCCCTTGGATCAAAGAGCTACTATCTAACAAACAAACTACATGATCTTGATAGCATCTCATCATTTTTTATATTTCTTATATTTTTATGTTCTTAATTCCCAATTGCGAAGAACACTCTTCAGTCTGAATCTAAACATTTAATTGTAATGCACTAGCAAGGAATTTCATTTTGCTGGACAAATTAAGTTCTCTGTCTCTTAAAGGTTAACTCAATTTAAATGCCCATAATGCAAACATGAAGCAACAGCACTGAAAGGTTAATCTTCACATTGAGGGAACAATTAGATGAGGGGAGAATGGAACACTAAATAAAATGGTGTCAATTAAATAAAGATATATCACCCAGAAGGCTCACTCTCAGAATTAATCTTAGTCATTAGAGGACACCTTAATAAAAAATGGAGAGAAAAAATGGCTACCATTTGAATAATAACCTATTCACTTTCTCAGAGACAATTCAAAAGCACATTTCATTTCAGTTTTAATCTTTGTGCAGGCAAAGCTATATATCTCAATGTACCGTATATGCCATAACTATTGCTTTAAACATTTATTTTAAATTCATGAATGAGTTTTTTGAAATTCTTAAAGTTTCTATACTATACTCCACTCTTCAGTTAAACTACTAACTTATTTTTCAATCTCAGATGACTCTTCTAGGCAGGCCAAGAAATAACAAGTTTATGTTTTAAATGATTATGTTCCCCTCAAGGACTACTTTATTTTAGTTTTATTTAGCCAAATAAAATAAAGGACAACTTTTACAACAAAGTTTTCCCTTGAAGGACAGCTTTATTTAAATTTTCACTTTAGTTTATGTGAAGACAATAAGCACAGGGACCTGAAATAGTACTGGTGCATCATCCAGGCGGGTGCTACATGTTATTGGGAGTGGTGTATAGTCCCCACTACCTGTAAAGCGCTAAAGTGGAGTGAAAG